TTATTATAGGAAGGATATAGGCTCCTTGGAGGCAGTTCAGAGAAGAATGACCAAGATGATTCAGGGGCTGAGAAATTTACCCTACAAAGATAGGTTAAAACGTCTTAATCTCCACTCCCTAGAGAGAAGGAGGGTAAGAGGGGATATGATTGAGGTTTTCAAATGGGTAAAAGGAATTAATAAGGGAAACATTGATCAGGTTTTAGAATTTAGTAGCCAGGATAGGACACGTGGAAATGGGTACAAGCTAGAAAAACTTAGATTCAGGACAGACATAGGTAGATATTGGTTCACAAACAGAGTTGTGAACGATTGGAATAGGCTGGATAGACACGTAGTAAGTGCTGAGTCAATAGGTAGCTTTAAAAGACGGTTGGATCAGAGTATGGATAGGGATAACATGTGGGATGGCTAAATATTGGATTATTCCAAGGGTGGGGGACAAGGAACTGCCTCGTGTAGGCCATTAACTGGCCTCTTGCAATCTCCTCATTTCTTATGTTCTTATGTTCTTTGATTAAGTTGGTCTCGGCCAGGAAAATCATCTGCAATCTCCTCATTTCTTATGTTTTATATTCTAAAAATAATTAAGCTAAAGGTGAAGGATGGCATCTTAACCCTGGATATTAGTCCGGTGGGGCGGTCATCCATCGGCCATTCGCTCCTACTCTTTAACTGGACGCGGAAGTCAAATGTGGTTCCTCCAGCCTGTTCCTGCTACAATAACCGGTAAGTTTTGATTCCAATACACATATATAAGCTAGGAAGTGAAGTTAGATGAAAGTGGTTGCAAGGGAAAGACTTAATACAGTGTTTTAGTGAACAATATATTGGTTATAAAGTGGGATTACTGGAACGTAATGGCGACACTTAAGGGACTTTTTTTTCTCGTTTATTTAAGGTTAATGAAGGTTTTTCATTATTTTTCGGATTCAGATATCATTCCATCTTGTATATTGAAGTTATATTAGAAGCAGTAATAGCAGCATCATAATTATACGTATGATTGAAAAACCGTTAACGAGGCAATTACCATAACGACTATTATGTGGTTAAGAGTGAATTGGAAAGGTGTTTATGTGTTTAAAGGAGAGCGTGTGTTTTGGATGTAATGCAGTTTCTCAGTGTATGTGTGCAGGGCGCTTCTGCAACTCAATTTCAATAGCAAAATGTCTTTCTGTTTTACGTTTGAAGTTAATTAGCCCTATGAAAGTACCGAGTTTATTTCGTCTTTTTCAAGGTAGAATGACGAGCTGAAGATTTTTTTTCTCCGTTAAACCATAAATTCTTGATACGTTAATTAATTTCCTCGTAGCTTATGGAAGTGAATGGAATGAAAGAGTGAAGACAGTGCTTTAATAAACAATATATTGGTTATAAAGTGAGATTACTGCAACGATAACTTGTCCGTTTTCTCATACCGATTGTAAACAAACTTTTCATCGATTGTCAAGTGACAATATTTACAATTTGTTAAATATATCAATATATAGCGATATTGAATCATTGTAGAGTTATCATTACGTTTATAAATGTTAGTTAGTATGAATATATATCAGATTTAGTCAAGAAAGTTTTACGCGAATTCGTTATAATTAGTTTTAATATGATAAATAGTAGTTGGCATATTCGTTAGAGAACGAATTCTTCCGTCAAAGGGTTAATTCTCACTTTCATTATCTCTTTCTCCCTCTATTCCCTCAATCGTAAAAAAAAAAATTAAAAAAAAAAAAAAAAACCATGTTATCAGGGGAACGCGAGGAATACAAAGACCTTGAAAAAAATTGATAAAGATGGATATTTACAGAGTTTGAGAGATATAAAGAGAGAGAGAAAGTGAGAGAAAGTGAGAGAAAGGGAGAGAAAGGGAGAGAAAGGGAGA